TTTAACTGCACATGTTTGCATTTGATAATTATTCTTAATAATATGAAATGAATTGTAGTTAGCGTCTCCCCTTCCCCTCCTTTGTTTCGACATTTAAAATGCAAAGGAAATCCTTGCTATAGAATGAAGTAATCTGAAGTTCAGAAAAGTTTGTTACCTTTTTGTTAGTAAGAAATCAGGAGAGCAAGCGAAAGAAGAATGCAAATAGATGCCTACATTTGCAAAGAAGTGAGGTTTTGGGTTGTACGTGTAATGGAGTCATTTGTTTTACACTTGTGATGCATTTATTGAGATGAATTTTGCCATGTGGTAAGGATTGGTGTATCTGTCTGGTTTCAGGCACTATGACTTTGATTTAGATAAGACATTATATTTCTTCATTGCTGGTCGTTATGAATTTGGCAACAAAGGAGCTGATATATTTATTGAAGCATTAGCTCGATTAAATCATTACCTGAAGGTAAGTTACTCAGTGGAATTATCTTCGCTGTCTAGAGAGGTAATTGTTTCCCATCTTTGAAGACTGCCATACTAAATTGACTTGAAGATTTCTGTCTTCTGTGCTTTGTAGTCTGGTCGATGTTAACCAACGTTTCAGAGGTCATACTGCCTCCGTCATCAGGGCGTCATCGCCCTGATGACGGAGGCAGTATGACCTCTGAAACGTTTGTTAACATCAACAAGACTACACAGCGCAACTACCCAGAAGACAGAAATCTTCATACTCACCGCTGTGAAAACCTCAAATCGTACCTAAATTGACTTCTTTTTGTGTGTGTGTAAAAATAACGCAAGACAGTTGCAGGACTCTGTGGTAAATGTTCAATTATATTTCTAACAGCTTGAAGTTTAGTATGAGTTTAGATTTAAATTTCAGAAACGTATCGTCTGCATATGCACTACAACATTTTGGTTGAACAAATTTCATGAAATGTAATGTTTGTGCCCAAACTAAATTTTACTGATAGATTTTAAAATTTTGGTGAGTGTTACTTGTCCCCGAGATGGAAAATCCTCTTGAAAGGCAGTCAGCAGAGGAGGTGAAAAATGCTGTGATAGCCAAGTGCATGCAGCAGTGGTAAGGGTCGTGGCAGAAATGACCGACAGCAGAAGTTGAACTGCTTTAAAGCTGGTGTGTAGTAAAACTTGCCATGATGACAAGTCAGCTCACAGCTTCAGAAGCTCTTGAACTTTTTGAATGTATATATAGAAATCAAATAGTGTACGTATGTACGTTCTGAAGCAGAAAGGATTTTACATTTAACACAGGTTAAGCATAACAGTTACTGACATGTTGCAGTAGTTGGTACTTGCAGATTGACACTTTCATGTATTGTTACAGAGTTCTCATCCTGATGTAACTGTGGTAGCATTCCTCATATTTCCAGCAAAAACTAACAATTTCAACGTGGAAAGCTTACGAGGACATGCCGTGACAAAGAGTCTTCGAGATACGTTAAATGATATTCAACAAAAAATGGGCAAAAGGATGTATGAAGTATGTCTTAGGTAAACACAAGCTTTTTATCATATTCCTGTGTTTAGCGTATCATAAATTTCACGTTGCTTGTTATTGATGATAATGCCAGTGATCTTTAAACACATTCAGACACAGCTGGAATTCTGTCATACATCTGCAGTACAGGAGTTTTAAAAATATTTTATCTAAACTGTTCTCTCTTGATATGCGTAAGTATCGTGCGAAACATTTACCGAAGTACAAGTGCAATTGCTAACAGCTGTACTGCATTGTAAATTTTTTACTATGCATTTAAGGAACATTTGGTGTGAACATGACAGTAATATTTCATAGTTTTTTTTTTTTGAAGGTCTCTACCAAGGGTGGGGAACCTTTTCATGTTGGAAGTCCGCATTAATTTAGCTGTAATCAAATAAGGCCGCATTTAAGAAACTTCAATTAGATATACTTAAAAATGTAAAAATCTAACTACTATGTACTTAATAATTTCAAGAAATGAAAACTGTTTGTTAATTTTAAAGTTAACTAATCTTTTAATGACTTTGTTGTGTCTGCTTTTTGTTGGAAAACATTCGAATATTTGGTTGCAGCATGGAGGTCCGCTGTTTCAGTTGATCCTAGGATTTGTTCTGTAAAATTTGGATCCAGTCAAAAGGCCGCACATGTGGCCTTAAGGCCATAGGTTCCCCACCCATGGTCTATATCAACATCATTGTACTTGTATGCTGCTGAAACTCAGGGTGAGGATGTTTCAGTGAGATTTACTATGTTTGTAGTGGACGATTACCCAATCCCAGCGAACTTCTACAGAAGGAAGACATGGTGAAGATTAAACGATGTATTTATGCGCTACAGAGAGATGGACTGCCACCGATCACAACGCACAATGTTGTGGATGATTGGAACGACCCTGTGCTCTGTTCCATTAGGCGTTGTCAGTTATTCAACACAATTCATGATCGTGTAAAGGTAAGACGTCAGATTTTATGCACTTGAACTAAATTTGCATCGGTATTATCATTACAGTTGTTACATGTTCTTTCGAAGGTGTCCGTGACTTCGGAGGTCCTGCTGTTCAGATATTTCATATTCAGACCTGTTGTACAGTTCTCATTCATGACACTGATGTTTGATACATTTTGCCATCATATAATGTGACTGGTGAGTTTATGAGGATTGTAAAAGAAACGTAACCTTGCCCCTTACATTATTTTCCTACTTGAATATGGTGCAGTGGTGTGTATTTTGACATTCTGATTCCAGATACTGTGTAGTGTGAGCTTGATGATTTATTTTTTTTTTGAATCAAATATAATTTGTAGATTGTATTTCACCCTGAATTCTTGTCATCAACAAACCCTCTGTTTGGATTGGACTACGAAGAGTTTGTTCGAGGTTGTCATCTTGGAGTTTTCCCCAGTTATTACGAACCCTGGGGCTACACACCTGCCGAGTGCACTGTGATGGGCATCCCATCTATCACCACGAACCTATCAGGTAAACGAGAGATAGGTCTTCGGCTGATAAGTATGCTGCTATCATCATCATCATCAAAGATTAAACACTTGACTTTCTCAGAATGTGTAGATTCAGTCGCACCTTTACACCTTGTCCTGTACAAATCCAAAATAATCTACATTAGCACAATTTTATTTGAAACACTTTATTTTAATATTAGGCTCCTCGCCATTCTTTTCTTCCTGATTGTCACTTCCCAGCCAGAATTTTCATTGTCGTCTTGTCTGAATAATCAGGAATGATTCGGTTCAAAATCATGTATTGTGTCTTTCTTTTTGCAAAATCACAGTGTGTGAAATACAAAAATTGGCCTTTGGACCAGGTGGTGTAATAACCTTGTCATTACTGATCTGAATATGTAGTTATGTATGTTAGTTCAGTGTGTGCTTGGGTGCTGCGTGCCATTTAGTTTGACGCCGGTATTGTTCAACTGCGCCTTTATCGTGTGGCCTGCTGTTGTAAGATAGGTTCATTCTTTCCTCATTCTCTGCCTCATTGCCAAGGGATGAATATCAACAAGTAGTTGTTCTGTTTTTGTTAAAGATGCGATTCAGACCTGTGTTCTGTTGGAAAATATGAAACTTTATGTTAATTTTGTTGATATTTAGTAGTATAGGTTCTGTCAAGTGCAAATATGATTATTTTGTTGGAATTTTTACAAGATGCTCTGTTGATTATTATATGTTATGTCATTTTGTCATGCGACAGGGTTTGGCTGCTTCATGCAAGAACACATAGCAGACCCGATGAGCTATGGAATTTATGTCGTGGATCGACGTTATATTTCACTTGAGGGATCGGTGCAGCAATTAGCGCAGTATATGTATGACTTTGCCAAACTCAACCGACGCCAAAGGATCATTCAACGTAACCGAACGGAACGACTCAGTGATCTGTTGGACTGGAGAAACCTTGGAATTGTGAGTTGGGGAAAATATTTATTACTAAGTGGATGTTCATTCTGACATGACCATTTGCTTTCCGAGCATTTGGATTAGATCTCGGGGAGACAACATGAAATTAAGATTCAGTACAGGTGGCTGATCGTCTGGCTTCAGGTTTAAACTGGATCTGTCCCTAATCAGAGTCCAACTTTTACCACTTTATTAGCCAGTTCTTTGCATACTTACATGTCGGTTTTCCCCATATTTACATTTTAAGCGGCGGACTGTGACACGATATAGTTTTACTAGTAGTTGTATTGTCTTGTTGCAGTATTACAGACAAGCACGTATGAAGGCTCTCCAGAAAGTTTACTCTGACCTTGATTTAGATGATGATGCTTCTGTTGGGAGATTCAGTTACCCACGCCCCATTTCAGAGCCTCCCTCACCATCCTCATCACGCCACACCACTCCGGCTGCATCTCGTCATGGCAGCGATGATGAAGATGAAGTCGATGATGAGAGAGAGGTATTCATTCAATCATTCATTAGCAAATAATGTACTACAATTGCCTGAACACTATGTAGTGTATGGGATCATGTGCCATGTAGTCTGGCGGAACTTTATCGATATTTCCAAGGTCTTGTATCGGACTGCATGGTGCAACATCCCAGCTGAAGAATTTTGGGAAATTTCTTGGCCAGGTGAATAACCAATAGCTTCTCAAAGAAGAATGGGCAATGTGCTTTATAGTTATATTGTCATCTCGTCTGATGACGCACCTTTACTTCCAGAAAAAGGTACATATTTATAATTTCCAAAACCTGATAGGATAAATGTGATCACTGAATAAAGCTGTTTATCTTTGTTACAGCTAGAAGAGTTGGGCGTTAATAACATTGACCGTGCGAGTCGATAAGCATCAGTTTTCAATGCCGAGAGAGCTCAGTGGGGATGAACCAGCGAACTTCTGCTTTGTACTTCTGTTTTTATGTTCCTGAGTAACTTTACCAAAAGGCAAAATCTCTTGTCAAACTTTAATTCACTCTTAGTAGCCATGTTGCTCTTCAAAGTACGTGCTTTTTCTGATATTTTACAAGTATTGAAGTGAATGAAATGGGTTTGGGATGAAACTGAGCTACTGTCTACTGATGACTTAATATAAATCTTGTTATACCTCACATTCATTGCAACTGCAGACTCGTTATTTTTATTAGTGTAATCGTCATATTAGTAATGGAAATGCAGAATTGTAAAATTGTGATTTATAAACTGAGGAGTGTTTCAGCAGTAATATGGAGATTCAGGCGGAATATAGGAAGCAAATTATTTTCAGTGACCTCCAGCCAGAATATGGGAACTCAAGGATTTGAGGTTTTCACGGCTGTAAGTCTGAAGATGGCCGTCTTCCCGAGTTGTTGCACCGTGTAGTCTGGTAGAAGTTTGCCGACGTTTCAGAGGTCCTTGCTGCTTCCATTATAGGCAGCAAGGACTTCAGAAACGTCGGTAAACTTCTTCAGACTACACAGTGCAACAACTCGGGAAGGCGGCCTTCTTATGGGAACTCTCTCTTCATTCGTGATAATATGGCACGTCTGCGATCTCACAATATGCCGAGCAGGCAAGTTTGTATAGCGGGTATTTTGTTACTGCCAGTGCTTCCAACATAACTAATATGTCATAACTGGAATCTTTTGGTGTCTGTAATAATTGATTGCAACTACTTTGGACTTGGAATCAAATATAATTCATCAAGATAATATACAAGCTACTACAGCAAAAGAAAAAAATTGTTTTAGAAGGAGATTGGGGCAAAAATTAATTTACATTACAGTATTAAAGTGTAGTACTGAGTGTACTCTGAAGTATTTGTTCTTTTCACCAGACAAGTAATGTCGAATTCCAGGCATGCAAGAAGAGCAGTGATTGAGTTAACGTTGTTGAGGTGTAACAAGTGCATTTGATTTATATTTTGAATGGGATTGATATGGTCACCTTTACCTTTAAGAAGGTTCATTTTACTTTTAATGGATGCATGGAATGAGGTATAAGGTAAACTGTCTTCTCATATCCAATTATAAATGGCATGCAAGAGGTCTGTCAGTTAAGTAATAATAAATGTTGCCGTCTCCATGGTGATTTGGCTGCCTGCAAGCCTTGTTTTGTGTGTCATTGGGCTCTGTCAGACCAACTGCCACCAATAGAAATTTGGTTTATTGATTGCTCTGTAGCTCAGACTTATTTCATTGCCAAGGGTCACATTTTTTCCCCATATATTTGTGTAGTCTTCTTGAAATTGTGTATAGTAACAGACAAATAATTTTTGCTTTAATTTTACTTTATACTGCATATGTAGCACAACAGAGAGGTCTCAATCCATTGACAAGGATTTATAATTGTGTATACATGTACCAGGTCTGTATTTGTTAGTCTTTTAAGATTGGCCATTCTCCTCTTCTCAGATACAAATATTTTGCTTCATAAAGTAGTGTCAGTTTTCTTCAGTTGAGAAAGAAAAGTAACTGCCATTACGGTTAATTTTGTTCGTTATATCTAAGGTTCCTTGCTCATCCCTGCCCTGATGACTGGTGGATTGGTGACTCTCGGTATTTGCATATGAAACAGTGGTCCGAGTCACTGAAACATTTCTTGTAGATTATTTATGAGTATATTTAAAGGTGCTTTGCTTTATGTGTCATTAAATGGATGTTATTTTTATTCTGAATTATGTTACAGACCCTACAGCTTTTACAAATTAGTGTAGCCAACATAGGATATAGTAATTAGTGTAATATGTTTAATACTTTTTATTTTGAGATTGTTTTATCATTTAATATACTGCCATTTGTTGTGAACTAACAGCTGTTGTGAATTCTTCCATTACCCTCTTAAAAATGGTCAAGAGTAATAATGCAATGGAAGGACAATTGTAAGGAAAAATGAGTTATTGAAATTACTGGAAGAAGTTCCAGATTTATAGTACGGTTGAGACAATGGGTCAGTAACCACGTATTAAGGTATTCATTGTGTTTAAGTATTTACTGCAGCCATTGCGTCATTAATTGCGGTCAAATAGTTGGCACTCCTGCTGTGCAGTCAGGTTGATCTGGAGACCAGTTACATCTTTCAATCCATGATTTTTCTAAATTTCTTAAGATGAATGTGTGCATTCTGGCCAGATCTGTGCCTCAGCCGCATCCATCCACGTCCTTATCCACTTACTCATCATTATCAGCTTCCCGTTACGATCGACTGTGTAGGGGAAACATAAAAAATGGAGTGGCTTTAAGTTTCGTGCCGTTAGGTTGGTCGTGGTGGTTCCATGAAAAATGGCGTGTTGGTCGAGCGCGGGTTTCAAGCTTCGAGCTCAAAAAGTGTTTTCTGGTGTTTCTCTTACTTTCTACAGTCGCAGTTTATCACCATTGTAAATCTAAGACTTGTGATCAGCTTATCGAAATGGGTTTCCAGTGAAGACTCCAGAAAGTAAGTCATAATTAATACTAATTGCTGCAGTCAGTGTTTGTTAAAGTAGGGCAGCCAACTTCGGGTTAAGTGACATTCAAGGTTTCTATGTAGCTTCCCTATGCATAATGCTGTTCACGTTCCGTAATCTTTATAGGTAAACATAATAGTAGTTCATGAGATGATGTTATTTTACCCAGAGTCTTGGCCTAAAATTACAAATTGTAGGCATTTGGATTATATTTAATATTTTACAAGTTCACATAGGAAGACTAGTTGCATGTGCAATAAATATTTATTCCTACTCCAACATTACAGAAAGCGTGCATCTAGAGGTCAAGCCTGTTAATCTGATTTATTTATTAAGTGTAGTTTCAGACCAATCTCCCCTATATCAGCATGTTTAAGTATTCTAATCAAACGCCGCAACTGAATTTAATAAATTAACTCCACAGAGCAAAATGTTTGAGAATCTAATAGTCGCGCAGCTGGTAACATTCGTGGACTTTAATGGAACCGAAGGTGTATTTCCACTTTCTAAGAGCACTCCATTGGATTCTACACTGTGCCTGATCAATCCAGCCTACACTTCATTTTCATAACTATAAAAAAGTATTTGCAAAGTTTGCTCCCCTGAAGTTGGCTGCATATTCTATTGTGTTTTTAGTAATCCACGTTCAAGCTGTTTGAGCGTATATCGGACACGTTTAATGTAGACAATCTGTACTTCTTAAGTTCTTCCTAAAAATAAAATAAGCTGAGAAATAACAGCCTTTTTGGCAGTAGTAGTATCAGCGCGAGTGGCAGTGTTTTGTTTTTGGGACTATGTTAACGTAAGTACAGATTTTGTCTACTTTAACTTTCGTCAGATATAACCTCACAGTTTCGAACCATTAAACGTTAATCATGGCATTTATGCTGTACGGTGTAATTAATTGTTTATCAAAATATAATCGTTGATACGATAGCTTAGTCAATGGCTGGGGCCAATGATTTTAATTAGGCTTTGTCTTTATATTACAAACTATCAAATAAATACATATTCCATAGATGATAAAGTTAGCCACACTGACTAGAGTACGGAATAAATCGTAAGTACAAAGCACACATGCGCAATTTAAATATTAATTAGGTCTCACAAACGACGATGCTTAGCATAAAAATATTAAAATGTTACCCTAGAACAACGTTGCAAAGGAGCGTCTACATTTCTCTCAATATATTTATTCTAGCGTGTACAAATTTATTTTACTTTATATTACTTTTAGACGGAAAATGTCAATAAGACGTTTATTATTTTAATTAGACAACTTATACGTAAGATCAGATCTTTATACAAATCTAAATGGCTGCTTGCTTTTGTTAGGACCTGTAATATCAGGTTTTACGAGAAACCGTCCAGCGGCCTGAAGCGAGCGAAGGACTCAAGGACCCCTTGTCCTTTCAGTTTATGCGTGTTACATTTTTGGGCGTTGTGGTTGGGGTTAGAAGCTGTCGTCACGTGACGCTGTTCCTGTCTGTGAAGATGTAAGGGCTCTCTTCTGCTGGGCACAGGAAACGTGAGAAAGGTAGCTCGACGGCGTGAGGTGTCTTATTCCCTACTGGCTCCAGTAACGAATTCCAGAGCGAATTGGCAGCTGTGACAAAGGAATGTGCGTAGTCAACATTACTACAACCTATTTCTTTAACGCCCATTTTAATATTATCCCAAAGTCTGCAAGATGTCTCCTGGTAGTAGAATACGACGGATCAACACATCATGAGAACACATCTGCACCCTGAGGCACCTCTGTCTGTCCACACACGAGTTTCGGAACACCCATTTCGTTATCATCCTTTCAACTCCATCGTGAAGTAATCTTTTGAAATACAAGCTGTCCTTAAGTCGGATTCCTTGTATAGCTCAAAAGGATCTTTAGCTACGCCTGTTAAGATTGTATTTTTTGTGACAAAATTTATCGATCGTCAAGTTCAGAATTTATAAGTCGCTGCAGACTCCATCACAAACCCACTTAAAAGGCATTGCAACTAACCCATTGCGTGCGTTTTCTGGCTGAAGTGGAAACAGTCCTCGGATAGGAACGAGAAGTCGGTGACGTCTCCTCTTGGTGTCCTCTTGTTTGGTATCGTGGCCTCAGTAAGGAATCTGTGGCCAACAACGGCGAAGTCGTCCTTAGAATTATACCGACCGCTGGTTGCCTGCAAAAGCACATAACAACATCATCTCCTGGGTTTTGACGTTGCGTAATTTTGCGTATGGTTAGCAGCGTTTCAGATAGGAACATACTGCCTTCATCTTGAAGGTATGTTGACTTCTGTATTGAAGATGGTACTGCAACTTTCTCCTAAACGTCGGTAACGCCCTACAAGACGATAAGAAAAGCAACCCAAATTTACTCCGCTGTGGAAACGTCGAATTTTTTTAAAAAAATATTTGCTGTTATTGGATGTAGTTATTAAATTTTGTTTATTTGAGTGGAACTTAATTCTACATGAATAAAACACTTTGGCGCTGTTTTGCAGGTGCTAGAGATTGAAGCAAGATTTGGAATACAGTGATCATAAATTATTTTACATATCCGCGTTTCAAATTTTACCTGGGGAGGGGGGGGGGGGGGGGGGCTAAATGGGAAATGTGGTTTGTAACAAATTCTTACCAATTCCAAATCTGTTTTCTGTACGTCTCGCATTATTTGCGTGAAGTTGTCCTTCAGATGCTGCCATCGCAGTCCGAACAGACAGGGGCACTCAACGTCATTGATCAGGGCACACAGTGCTGACTTTCCTTTGAAATCCTGGATAATCCGCAGCTCTGGAATAGACGATGAACGAACATTCCCGTTTGTCTCCGCTTAAATATTCGCCGTGTTCAGAATCTAACAGATGGCAGGAAGTTAAGTTGGCTTCTAGCAGCTTTTGGCTATTCAAACAGTCGATAAGTTACGTTCGTAGTGTTAGAAATTCCAAGGCATTTTATCAGATAACTTTCACTAAAATAATACAACCTTTAGTGGTGATAATAATCTTTGCGCACTAATTATTATAGCAGGGTATTCTTAGAATAATTAATGAATCCAGATTTTCTTTAAAGGCCTTATTTGGAACTTTGACACAGACGAAAAATGAAATAAAGTATTGCTTAATTTTCACTGGGACAGACTTCTGATACTCGAGAAGAAAGTTGTTTACGTATTTAAATTCTTGAGTGCAGAGAGACGGGTGTAGATGGTTTTAAGTGATCTGGTTAATTATTTGTTGATGTAAAATCAACATCGCGCTGGCCAACCTATGAAATGTCGTGCGATCAAAAACACTAACTAGTGCCCTTAGTGAAAACACCTCTTTATACGCAGATTTCTCCCGCCACTTCGTCTCTCGTAAGTCCAAATATTTCTCTCATGGAGCATCCTCGATCTGTTTCCCCTCCCGTAAGAGTGGAAGACTTATAAAATTGAATATCCTACGTCTTAAGCAGACGCTGTACGGACGGTCGTACTCACGAGGTGGGGCCACTAAGTTGACGATCGTCCGTGGCATGTTGTCCCTCAGGTAGTCCAAGGCCGTCGTGAGTTCTTTTTTGTGAAGCTCCGATGTGACGGAAATGTCTTTCAGGTAGCACATTTCTGAGCAGAAGTCATTACTTCCGATCATCATTGTCACCATCTGTACATAAATATGCGTTGTTGGTTACTAGGCAACGCTGATCTGCTGCAAGTCTACGCTCTAGCTCAGTGGTATTCAACCTTTTATAATTTCTCTTCAACTTTGTACCCCCCAAAGCTGTTGGTGTACAATCTACATCTAAAATAAATTAAATAAATTACATTACTGATTATTAAGTGTTTTCATAAAATAATATATATTTTTTAAATTTCACGTACCCCCTAAGATGTCTTCGCGTACCCCAGGTTGAACACCACTGCTCTAGAAGACGACAAGAGACGAATGTTTTCTGCATCCATAAATAACACAGAATTTGCGCATGGTACACGGTGTTCCATTTACAACGCTATCCCGACAACTGCGCAGAAACCCCTTGTTGCAGCTGAGACTGGATAAAATTTCATATTGAGGGTCTCCGTTGTTGTTCACCAAATATTATTGCGATGATCAAGATAAGATGGGCAGGCCATGTAGCGCGCACGGGTGAATGAGAAGTTCGTACGCTACAATTTTGTTGTTGTTGGAAGCCTGAAGGGAAAAGACGTGTCGGAAGACCAAAACGTAGATGGGAGTATAATATTAAAACTGGTCAGAGGGGAAATCGGTGTAGAAAGTTCGAGGTCTGTCTCAGGATAGGGACGGGAGGGCGGGGTCTTGTGAGCACGGTAATGAACTTTTGGGTTTCGTAAGAAGGCGGAGAATTTATTGACTAGGTGAGCGTACTGTGAACATTCTAAGGGGTGAACAACATACACTTTCTTTCTCCCTGTATGTTATTATATCCTACGATTTATGCCTCCGGCAGCCTGAAATTGACCATCGCGGATACGGAATTCAACTTGAGACTTAATATTAGTGATGTATACGAGTGTTGTGATTTATTAATTCTGAAGATTACTGTCTTCTGGGTTGTTGCGCCGCGTAGCCCGGTAAGAGTATCGACGTTTAAGAGGTCCTTGCTGCCTCCATCATCAGGACGATGAGCGCCCTGATGATGGAGGCAGCAAGCACCTGTGAAACATCGTTAAACTTCTACTAGGCTACACGGCGTAGGAACCTGGTGGCCGGCAAGGAGCGCAGTCCCTACCTTCCAGTCGTCCTTGTAGTTGACGCGCTTGTCAGAGCGCATGCGCCGAACCAGAAGTTTCGCCTGGAACGCCATATCTCTGGTTTCGGCGAGGGGCTCGGCGACATTGAACTGCGAGTTCACCTCGGATCCAAGCGAGTCCTTGAGGGAGTATCCGATCAGGGCGGGGTTGTATTCCCTCAGGATATTGGGTAACGTCAAGTATTCGCGCCATGTTGACTCTCCGCCTGCCGTCAAAACATTTCAAATCCTTGTAAGGACTTCGACAGGGCCCTCCTCCTAAAGGTTCTCCCAATCAAAATTGTGTATGCATTTTTGTTCTCTCTCCGGAGCAGATTTTATGAAAGTGGAAGTTTTTTAGTTCCTGAATAAAGATATATTTTATCGTACATCAAAATCTTAGGGGAAGAAGCTACTTGGAAGACCTAATTGTGGATGGGAGATAATATTAAAATGGGCATTGATAAAATTGGTGTGGTACGGGAAATTGTGAACACAGTAATGAACAAAATGGAGGAAAGTTCGTGTCTAGCTCCAGAACTGTGCTCCATGGAGTCTGAGCGGGTGGGCTCACCTCCGGACCACGACATCCCCCTGTTCTCGACCGCCAACTCGACCAACCCGGCCGCGGCAGTTCCGGTGCCTGCCGTCAGGCTGTCGCCCATCGCACCGACGACGTCAATGTCACCCGGGCGCAGGCGGTGGACGCTGGTAGGTCGCGTGGCTGATCGCGCACCGGGCGATTCAGGCCCAGTGTCGCAGGGGAACGGAGAGTCGTCTGGCACCGGCTCTTGGAACTTGCTCTGCAAGACGTTCACTGATTCAGCTCGCAGGTGCGAAAAGATCTTATTACAATGCGAGGTCCCGGGGTTCGGCTCTGGACTTTGCGAACGGCAGCAGAATTTAAGCGAAGGAAGACGTTACAATGCGGTAATTTGAGGACTGAGAATTAAACGGAGGATATTATTAAAATGGTGATATTAATTAGCCGGAATGGTTAAGGATGTGGCCCGTTGTCCGGGTTCGGTGTTGACTCGTATTTATTTTAAAGATTCTGTACCAACTACCGTCATTGTTTGAACTGGTAAGACACAGGCTGAGGGTTGCAAGTGAGATCGTGGTCTTGTAAGTGGATAGCAACGTTTCGGATGCGTAGGACGCCTCCGTCTTCAGGGTGTTTTACTCTGAAGAAGAATGCCATAAGTTACTCCGGAACGTTGGTGTCCACCGTCATCACAATCCAGAAGACAACAAACCACAAAATTCTACTTACGTTGAAGTGCTGAGAGGTGGCCCGCAGACTGTTCGCTGCTGACATGGCCGTGGCGATACCTCGTTTAGACGCACTTCCGGTTTTCAGTAGTCCGGATGTGAAACCTCTGCGTGCGACTTGATATGGCTTATCTAACCACCGAAGCCAACTTGACTGAGTTTGCGTCTCTACCAACAGAGCCGCTGTAATCGTCAAAAGCAGCAACCGCGTGGTCCCCATATCGCATGTCAAAATCTGCAAATGTTCTTGGTTAGTAGCTGTTCCAGAGTCGATCTTCTGGGTTATGACACCAACTCTTACAAATGGTTACCAACATTTTGAAGACCGTGACCCAAATTTTCATCGCCGTGAAACATCAAATCACCGATGTTTAGCAAATAACACTTCGAATTTTGTATAATATTGGTTTGCTAAGAACCGAAAGGAAACCTGGACCACAGCGATTTTCATATAATTCGTGTTAGTTACGAAAGTGTTATGCAACAGTTTGCAAACTAATTCTAACATTTGTCGAATCGAACTTACCAACAGAAATTCTGTGTAACGAGGTTTTATTTAAAGGAGAAAAATGAAATTATATCGTAAAATATGTTGAGCATCGACTACATTACACATAATAAGTAATTTAATTTCAATGTGCAAAATTAAAATTAGTGTTTCCGCCCGGGATCGAACCGGGGACCTTCCGCGTGTTAGGCGGATGTGATAACCACTACACCACGGAAACTTGTGACTGTTTCTTTCGCCAAGGTGTTTGATACATCCCGAAGACGTCGATGTCGGTCTACTGAGTTGCAACGCCGTGTGGTCTTCCAGAATGGTACCAGCGTTTCGGAGGAACATATAACCTCTGTCTTCAGGGCTGAATGGAAAGAGTATGCTCCTCCGAGACGTTGCTGTGTATCCACAATCCAACATGGCGCAGCGTTCGGATTCCACACCCGCTTGTGTGGTCGTGATACGAAGTGGACTCACGGCATTCGTCTGTCTGTAGTGCGCATTGCATTTTGACACACAAACCGAATTCACAGCTGTAATATTCGACTGCATCTTCATTCATAAACGTTCTTAACACCGATTATTTGTCTTGTTTCCAAGTTGCGAGGTAAAACTTCGCACACACAAACAAAAGCTTCAGGACCGGTGGAAATAACAATGTTTAAGAAGACCACTGAAATCGAAAATGAATGTATCACTCCGCCAGCTGCTTCCGGTTGTCTGACAAAAGTTGCACAAACTGGATCTTCCGGGCGAAAAATAAGTGCCTCGGATTGTTGAAAAGAGAGAGAAGAAGAAGAAGACAATTTTCGTTTTGGTCAACCCTGGGGCATCGGTGGCTCAAACGCGACTGAAATGTTCTCATTAGAACGGGACGCTAACCGATTTGTCCTCGTGTTCAAAGACCTAGAGGCAGGGCTCCTTCGCGTACTTCAGCAACGAGTTTGCTGCTGAAGTTGGGGGGTTGGGCGTAGGTATGACAAACTGTGAAGAACTGATTCACTGAGCTCCTGCGAACTGCAACAAGATTCTTTGTGCGCAAAATGTAAGCAAGGCGTGAACTGAATTGAACTGGTTCGGGTTAGCATCGAGGGGTAGACTTTTGCGAACACATGGCGAACATTTGTATTGAGTAATTAAAGATTTTAGTGTTTCTGAACTCGTTAGGTTAGGTTAGGTTAGTTTAGGTTAGGTTAGTTTAGGTTAGGTTAGGTCGTTGTGTCAGATGAAGTGTCAGGTTCTCATGGCGACGTTGCGCCTTGTAGTTTGGTGGATACTGATCGACGTTTCAGAGAAGATTACCTCACCCCGACATTGGAGACAGTAATTTCATCTTTCATGTCATGAAATATTGTAAAAAAAATATTTTTTTCCGTTGTGGTTTATAGGAATGGTCTTGTAATGGTTACTGACGTTTCGGAGGAGCTTGATCAATTGTTATTTGAAATTTTTAGTGAATAATCAGCATTGGCGAAGGGAAGTGAACAAGACGTGTGTTCGTTAAATCCCGTTTGTAAGCCTATTATAAATTTATTAACTCAGTTATAACCTTACTTTGGGAAACTGTAAGTTCGCTTAATGTAAGTAGTCTCATTGTAGGTTTATATGAACGTTATTTGAAGTCTGTCAACAGTTTCATTGAATAAGTAAATGCTTAAAATTAACATGCATTACGCTAGAAAGGAGGTGCATGCAGGAATGGAGAAACTTACATAACGAGGAGCTTCATGGATTTTTTTCTATACCTAGCGTTCTCTGGATGATTAATCGAGGTAGTGGAGCTTCGTTAGACCGAGGGGCTTTGCCATCCACGGGGCTAGTTTTCTTTCAGGGACTACGCCCCATGGGGACACAGCCCTCTGACGAACAGGAAGCTAAAAAATGATTACTTAATGGGTATTTTTCATGTATCGTATTATGTTCCCCTCCCAAGTAATGTACGTGACATTTGTCAAGCAAAAATATTTATTCAATTCTTTTAGTGTTTAAATTGCGTTTTAAGTTTGTTACTCTCAGTTCCACAACAAGATGGCGGCAATTCCAAGTTTACGGTATCATGATTCTCGTTTCCCGTCCTTGCAGTGTTGAGGGCAAGGCAAACGAGTTCAGAAGTTGGTTAGAATGTCGCACTCGCTGCAGATTCCACTCTCGGAAAGGCCTTTAATTGTTTCAAGGTGAATGGCACGCGTTTCAACCATCAGTCACTCTTAATTTTTTAATTCATCTGTTTCGCGCAATTCTCACTGTAAATAACGTTTGTTTCATTGAATGAAGTTGACCGTTATAGTTCTGCTTTTACGCGGTGCAAAGGGACGGAATAAAAATTACCACAAAATTATGAATTGTACGTGATTCAGGTTGTAGAACTTGGAAACATTTTCAGTAACATCTCATCATTATTATATTGTAATTAAATAAAATTTACAATTTTGTACAGCAGACATCTCTGTTAAAAAAAAGGTTCACATTATTTAATCTGTAAATGCGGCCTTTTTTTAAAAATAAACAAAAGGAACTTGCTTGAAATTTGTATTAAAATGCCCGACATCTTAGTATCGTTGAGTGTTAATAAGTAGAATTGCAAATTCACAGTCACATGACGGGAATAATTCCGAAATTTTGCAGGATGAAACACTTAAATTTTGAACAGAGGGTAGTTGACGCCATAATCGATATTCGAACTAGGTACACCAGAACAAAATGCAGGTAAGACTAAGTAAGCACTTTGTCACAATCACTTCTTCAGTTGCCATGTTTTCATTTGAAATTTTAGCGTTGCGCTGTGCGCGTAATGCCTTACCTTTCCTTGCTGCACAATCTCACACACGCAATCAACATTTACGCAGAAAACGCAGAAAACGCAGAAGCTCTCCTGGAAATGTCTTGTTTTGTCTGAGGCCGGTCCGGTATATCGCGTCGCCAGCAACGGAGTTCCTGACACTGGTGCTCGGTTTCGACTCATCTGCACTCAGCTCGATCGCTGTCCTTGATCTCCGCAAAAAGTGAGCGAGGGGAGGGCAGACCGGCCCAATTGCGGCAATCTTCGTATTCACCCTGCGTTGTTAATTTGAGCGACGTTAAATATTTATCTGACCGTGGGTTAGTCCGACACGAAAAAGCACCAGGATGATGGATGTTGTCTGGTAACAAATCCGCTGGGCGTTGCAACCCACAAGACCAGCAGACACATCTTCACCGCCGTGAAAACCTCGAATCTAGTACAAGGTGATCATCACCTGCGCCCTTTCATATGCAAACTCTTAAGCAATGCACAAGTAAGAACTCTCAAAGTTTCGATTTTCATTTATCAGCCTCGTTCTTGATTCTACACATAAAAACCTTAATAATTCTCACCCCAAGAACTGGACAGCGTTTGCCTGTTGAATGATTCATAGTTGAACGAGAATTAAATTTATAGAATAAATTTTTACAACGATAAATATCATTCGTTTGTTTGTTAGCTGTGCTGATCTGTCAGTCAGCACGTAACGGTTGATTTGTTGGTTGTAGATAATCTTAAGGTGCAGAGGTTATATGACGTCGAACGAGACGAGATTTGTATTCATGGGTGTTGATTGAGAGCAACTGGGTTTAATCGGTTCGTGGTCTATTTTAAATTGGGAGGTGTCGAGGAAGAACGACTGGTCACCTCACTTCAGCCAACGACTCTCAGAAGTGTTACGACTTGAAAATCCATATTGTCCTTCGACGCCTGTGTAGCGCACAGAATTTACCTCAGTCAGGTTTTATTTCGTAATTAATGATTTAGTTTTCGTTCTGGTGATGTCGGCCTTGCAATAAGTTACTTCATTAAGTGTGTTGGGACAACAAACTTGCATCACCGTGACTGTGTTTAATTTTGTTTGTTTAATTTTTATTGTCATAAGTGTTTTTGATACCAGAGTAAAAGGGTTGTCCAAAAATATCAACAGATTTGAGTCCAAGCCTGAACTGCATTGAATTTGTCGAACTGCAATCAATAACTCTGTGACGTGAGAAACGTATATTTTTTTTTATCTCCCTTCAAGAATTTAACCTTGGTTACTACTCGGCTGGTTAGAATGGCCCGCAACTATATGCCATTCTCGCTTCCAAGTGCAACATTTTTACCCTTGACACCGTTTCACAAAACCAGGTAACCTTTGCTCCATTCCTTTTCACAGACTCACCCTACATTCTCAGAATTTTCCGAAATTGTAGAACGTGTCTCCAAACTGTTTCGTAATCACTCGTCTGTCTGGCTTAGGGGTGGAGGTCAGTGTCTGGACCTCGGAAATTTTAAAATTTCACCGAGTTTTAAACTAGTCCACAATTGCGGACTATTTCCGGCAGGTTGAAGCTGCGAAAATTCCCCGAGAAAATTACGCAGGTGGGATTTGTTTTCGGACAATGGCCCGACAGCCCCCGAAGTGTCCTACGGAATATTTGACAGCTGTCATCTTGAACCCGGCCCAGACTCGGATATTTATTTTGCGTCAAATACGTGCAGTATCTGGTGCCTTGCAGCGCACAGTACGCGTAGTTTGCGTTTGTTATTCTTCTGTTTATTTAACGACGTTGTGCCTGCTGGTTAGACTGTAATGCGGTGTTTATTTTAGATTTAAAAACAACTGCTAACTGCATAGACTTTCCAATTATCGGCTGAAGAGCCTCCCCCTGTCAACAGTAATGCGTTATCACGGTGTGTAACACAAATATACTCTGTCGAAACGGTTCTAAAGTCTCTGTCCCAAGATGGATCGCTTTTTTATTCCGTGTGATTTTTTTCCATTGGTTCTCAATTATCTGACACTCGCATCGGAACGTCGCGGTCAGGCGAACGTCTCGCTACCTGACGTCACGCTCCTCTGCTTTGCCTGTGTGTCCGGGGTATGTCCCGAGAGTCCGGCGTTCAGATCCTCTGTTGCCGTGGAGGTGTCCTCAAAAGGCGAATCTTGTGAACTGATCATTTTCTCTTGGTTCGAACCCTGTACGTCCTCGTCAGAATCGTGGGCTTTGCTCGGTGATCTCGATGAGCCAGACGTCTGGACCGTTTCGTTCTCGGGCTGAGCCTCCTCGCTTATGGTAGAAACTTTCCTTTGCCGCGCGCTGTTCGTGGGGTGAGACTGACTTGGGACGAGATGACTGGATTGCGAATCGTCGTTGCTGGACGAATTCCTGGGAAACGCCGTGCTTCTCCGCGGGATCCGCGTTCCGGGCGGCCGAGCGCCTTCGTGCTGAGCTAGAATGTCGCTCACTGTGCCGATGACAATCGACGGCCGTCTGGTGTGAGGATGCGGGTCCTTCTGAGTCCCTGCATCGGCGCGTGTGGACACACTGGGCCTCGTTCCGTCGTCGGGCATGATGAAGCTCGTGGCGGTGGGACGTCGCTCACTGTAGGCCCAGGTGGGGCGGTGTTTGGGCTCGTAGTCTTTGCCTACCAGGCGATACAGGCGGGCCATGAACAGGTTGTAGGTGCGAAGCACCTGGACGTGTACCTGCGGGTTCAACAGCGAGTGACTGACGAGTGCTTTGACCGCGGAGGGAGCCGAGGTTGTGATCTGGGTCTTCGGACGCTCTGTGTTCCCATGGGGTCCAGGTCACACCTGCTACAAGACCACTAGGCAGGCCCCACAACCCAGAAGGCAATCTCAGCTCTCATGTTGCTGGGGAGGAGAGCGGGGTTGAATAGGATGAATGTGTGTGAGGGTGTGCGGTTTAATCGTCTGGGGGTGACGAAGTAATTAACTTGTCCCGTGTGGTAGGGCACGAACTTGAAGATGGATTTACGTATGTTTAAATATATAGCTATATATAGTGCGGCTGAACGCAAGATTCCACTAGTTGAGACTTTTCAGCATGAAGAATACTCACCTCTTTGTTGAGGTAACAATAGAACAGAGCAACGAAGGTGCCCTGGAGCCCGTCCATCGTGTAGAAGGCGTAGTAGTACGCCTCTTCTTGGGTGCAGTCCTTCGTGCTGGGACGGACCAGAGTCACCAGGAACTGGACACCGAACAGCGGCATTAGCAAGATGGTGGCCCGCGTCATTCGTCTGCACAATCAGAAGATCGTATTCATTCACACGCCGCGTTGCTGTCGAGTGTCGCGCGGGTCCCGGGTTCGGACCCAGAGCGACGTCTGAAACTCCTTCTATCCATCTTATTGTACTAGGCTTTTAATAGTGTCGTCTGGGGATTGTGGAACACGCTGTATATGGACATGCGTGTCTTACAGATGTCAGATAACGTGGAACGTGTTACGCCTGTCTTTTATCAAAAATTACTTGACTGTATCACGCGAGTGAAAACAATAGATCCACTTGTGGAGGAATCGGTGATAACATTTTTCATCCAATTGATGTAGTTTTTTTTACAGTAATGTGTAGTGTGAAATATTTATCGTCTTTAACGGTCTTCCACGTCTTTGGAGGACGTGAACTCGGCAGATGCAGGTCATTCGTTCGCCTGACTTCGTGGCCAGAATAACAACGATCGCCAATGATAATTACACACGGGAGGGCTCAAATTACATCGCAGCTTTCAAGACACGTAATAATTTAACGACGCGTCATCGTTTACCAACCCGCAGTTCGCAGACCATTCTGGCTCGACGCAGATTCTGATTAACGATGCACAGTACCCTACATACATTTTTTATCTAGCGATTAATTTCCGTTCTTAGTTTCCCCATAGCAACCAAAAGATTCATGTCGTCGTGTTTCATTACGAAAACACGTGGGTGGTATAACAACTCAACGCCCTCACGTGATATCAAAATAAAATGAATGCTATGGTTGGCAATTTATTTTATTTTGATATCACGCGAAAGCGTTGATATTTATATTTTGAATATATTTCAACGTCCTGCAATCAGTTGATTTGTAAGCTGATCTGTGTCTTCTAACATTTAATGCTATTAAGGGATTTCGGATTTTATGGGATAATATTAATGACTATGCGTGTATCAGTTTAGAATTTACGTCATTCTTGACAGTAAAGTTACTAGTCTTAACAACACGTACATTTATAAATATCCTATAAGAGCACAAAGTACCTCATAAAATGTCCACTAATGAATTAAGCTACGAATAGGCACTTTTTTTTATACACTGCAGATAGAGAGACGAGGTACCCGCCTGCCCTCCGAAAAATCACTGTTGTCGTATTGCTCCGCCAATCAGGAATGATTCAGAACCAATGATTAATGAAGCAAGTCGCAGTGTGTGTTACTTTACCTGATATGCCCGGATTTAGCCGTGTTGACCCTCCGTAGTTTCGTCCACAGGACTCGTACAATGTCCAGCATTAACAGTGTATTAATCTGAAACGAGAGACATTCATAACAAAGAGCTTCGTTATTCTTGTTCTTAAGTGTATGAAGATTGGCTTTCGAGGTGTTCAACGCCTGAAGATGGCAACTGAAATGCGTTACGAAACGTAGGATGAATTTAAAGAAACGACGCGGCTTAAAATCTAAATCCGATTTTGAACAAAATTCTTCTTCGTGGTTTCTACTTTTCGTGTGAGCCTGTGGCTTTGGACTGATGATTAATGACTGGACTGCCGAGTAGGAAAAGAAACAAGAAATGATCTTGAAACCACAATCTAAATTTTTTCCCCTGTGAGAACCTCGGATCACATTTGGTCAGATTTCATGAATGCATGAAACTTCTGCTGAAAGTGTTTTTTGTAGTTCGTGTTAGCATCGGTAAGAAATTTGTCTTGTGTTTCGAAAAATGAAAAGTGCAATCGGACGAGACTGAGACTGCATCAGCCATTCTTAATTTTACGCACTTTTACGAACACTTAACCCCGTCGTATGTATAATTACTTTACTGGTACAATTTCTTAAGAAAATATTCAAGTGAATAGACGAGATTCTCCGTGGTATATTCTATGAAAATTTCCCTCTTGTTATTATTAAACTTTTGAGATACGCGAGAGAGACGATTTCTGAAGTGAGTTTTGAAAATCCTCTGGAACACCGCGAGGTGCTCTCGGGGACACAGACTTACCACGAGCATAAGGATGCGAGGCCCATCAGTAATGTACCCGTTGTTCGTGGAATCTGCCGCCCAGCAGTTGACGTCGTTGTATTCAGCCGTGATGAAGGCCCAGATCGCAAATGGAAGAATGGCGAAACCTAAATAAATTTCGTCCGTTCAGTCTAGGGCCACAACTCCACGGCGCTTCTTGAGAATGTAACTGATGGGTTCATCGCCACGTTGACAGCAGCCCGTCACAGGTCCTTATTATCAGCGAGACTAACCTAAGCCTTACCTTCAAAATCAAGTTTCTTAAGATATATTTTAATATTATACTCCCATTTACGCCTAAGTCTTCGTACGAATCTCATCACCTCTGGCTTCCCAACCAAAATTATGTAAGAATTTCTTATGCACCCAGCAATCTTTATCTTTATCGAATTCATCATCGTAAGGAATATTTGGGAAAAGTACGAATTATGAAACTCTTACATCATATCCACCCTACTGTCACTTCATCCCTCTTGGGTGCAGATATTTCCCTCAGCACCCTCTTCTCATACACCCTCAATCCGTGTTCCTCCCTTAGTATCAGAGACCAATACAAAACAGCAGGTAAAATGATAATTTTTGCGTGTTTTAAGCACATATCAGACGGGATTACAAAAGTCTGATCT